AGCTCGGGCGCTGCGACGGCGCCCCAAACGACGGCCCGGGCTCGTCCAGGGTGGAGTAGTAGTCGAGATTGAGCTCGCGCAGCGCGGGGAGGCTGTGGAGGCCCGTCAGGCTCCGCAGCCGTCGGCAGCTCCGCAGCTGGAGGACCTCGAGCGCGGGGCACTCCCGCAGCCGCCCCATCCCGGCGTCCGTCAGGCTCGTGTGGGAGAGGTGGAGCTCTTTGAGCGCGGGCAGCGCCCCTAACCCCGTCACGTCCGTCAACGCGAAACAACGGGAGAGGTTCAGACGGCGGAGGGCAAGGCACCCGGCAAGGCGCGGGATGCACGCGTCTGACAGCGAGGTGTTCTCTAAATCGAGGTACTCCAACACCGTCAGGGGGACCACGAAGTCCAGCTCGCGAAGGCACTCGCAATCTTTCAGGGAAAGATATCGTAGAAGGGTAAGGCGTGAGAGGTGCCGTGCCTCGGCATCCGTGAGGGTCGTCCCAGCGAGGCTCAACCAGCGCAGCCCGGTAAGTGGCTCGATGAACGCGATCGAATCGAGCCGAGCGCACTCGGCGAGGTTGAGATACCGCAATCCTTTGCAAGCGGAGAGGGCGCTGAGGCCCTTGGCGGTCACCCCGCTTCCGGACAGATCCAACGAGACGAGTTCAGACCCTAATGTGATCCAGCTACCGACGGAGGTGAGGTTTGTGGAGCGGGAAAGATCGACACGGGTGAGCTGCATCTCGAGCAGCACCGCACAGCCGCCATCCATGACGGCGTTGTCGCTCAAACTCAGCACCTCCAGCTGCCGCAGAGACTGAAGGTAGTTGACGTTCGTGAGCCGCTTGAGAGAATTGAGATAAAGCTCCACGAGTTGGGTGCAGTTCGCGATCTGCTGCATGTGTTCATCCGAAAAGTAGTTTTGGGAGAGGTTGAGCAACCGAAGGGAGCCTCCGAGGCCTCTCAAAAAGCACAGATGCGTGAGACGGCGGCACTCGATGAGGTAGAGGTGCTGAAGCCTCGTGCATCGCTCGAGGGGCTCCACGCCGTCGTTCTTGATCGAACTGTTTTGCAGACTCACGCAGCGAAGCTTCGGGAGCTTCGTGAGCGGCTGCAGCGATTCCACCCCTTTACAACGGTGCAGGAGGATGCACTCCAAGTTCGTGCAGGACTCCAGGAGCTCAATGAAGTCCTGCTGCACCGGTGTGTGAGAAATATGCAGGCATTTGAGCTTCTTCAGGAGGCCTACCGATAAGGTGCCCGCGAGGTACCACTTCGAGTGCTCACGCCTCCCCTCTACGACGGAGGAAGAGAGAATTGAGTCGATGTAGACAAGCGTCACCCCTTGCCCGCCGGCGATGCAGGAGACGATGCTGAGGGAGGTGAGATCCGCACACGTCGAGATCGCCTGCATCCACTCCGCCGTCAGGGTGCATCGCACGCAATGAAGCTCGGTGATCGTTAAAAGGTGCCGCAACATCGAGAAGACCGTCACCTGGTCGTTATTCCACATCCCCATCAGCCGAAGCGAGACCCCATGGTATCGCGAAAGCCACCACACACTCAACATCGCCAGATGCAACGCCTTCGTGGAAGCGCATGTCAAAGAAACCGAAAAGAGCAGCTCCTCCTCCCCGCAGTGCCGCCAGCAACACGCGGCGAAGGTGCGCGCAGCGGCATGCATCACCTCCCCGCCGTCACCGTTCACCGCGGAGGGATCGTTTTCCTCGGCGAGATCGCGATCGAAGCGGTCGGGATCGCGTCGTCGCGAAGGACCGGCGAGAGGAAGGCGCTCGCTGCGAAGAGGGTGCCCCGTATAGGGGTAATGATGCCCGCTCGCGGGGGTATAACGCCGCCCTTCCGCCGCTTCCGGGGAGGAAAACCAATAAAACGGCCGCACCTCCTCCCCTTCGCCTTCGAGCTCCTCATCGAGGGTGGTGGAGGGCCCGGCGCGTGGGTGATCGTCCTCCACGAGGCCGCCCTCCCCTCCGGCGGAGACGTATCGCTCTCCCGTTACGCACGGCATCACGGCGTACCCCGCGAAGACGACGCCCTCCGTTCGCTCAACGAACAAACGAACCTCCGGGTTTGCCACCGCAAACGCCAAGGGGGGGCCATGGGTGTAATATCGAGTGATCGAGTGAAGAATGCTCGACGGCGGCCGCCACGAGCGTCGATTGTTGATGCGCGCAAAGGAAGACATGGATTTACATAGCGAGTGTCGCCGCAGGCTCAGGGCGGAGAGCTGTTTCGAGGAAAACAACGACCTCGACGAGCGAATATCGCTAAAGGAGAGGTTCTCAGGATCGGTCATTTTGTAAAACTAATAGATGACAAAATTGTCTATTTCTTCTTTTAGTGTTACGCTTTATGCCTGAAAACAAAAGATATATATACATATATATAGTAAGTTAGTTTTATATATGTATGTACGTGTATGTAGACCAATCAATAGATAATCTCCGTCCGAGAGATATAAATAATAATACTCAGAAAATATATAGAGCAAACAAATAAACCTTGTCAAAAATTCAACAAATAATCAATGGTATCTAAAGCAAAGAATAGAAAAAAAAAGATTTACGAGTTTGTACATTAAAATGGAAAAAAATTCATATTGGTAATGAATGCTCACCCTTTAATATATATATATATAT